GCAGAACATGCAAAGGTGGCTTGAAAACTTCGACGGGTTGCTCAACCACCTGTCAAACCAAGCTGGCTCTTTACATGTGTCAAGCAGTTCGGAAACTTACGACATCAATCGTGACCCACCTAATGCGACAGAAATCATCAATACAGTAAGCTTCTCTGAAAAGCAGGAAGACCCCTGGAGAAGACGGGATACCACCAGAGTTATTCAAAGCCTGCTTACCAATTCGCTTTTCCACACCATTTGGGAAAGAGAAGTTTTCCAAAAGACTGGACGGCATCAATTTTAATCCCGGTCCCAAAAAAGGGTGACAGATCTAGATGCGAAAATTACAGGAGTATTAGCTTGATTGATATGGCGGCCAAATTGTTTGCAGTGATACTGCTTAATCGCTTCGCAGTGGTTAGAGAAACCCGCACACACCCGAACCAAAGAGGGCTTCGCCGTGGAAGGGGCTGTTTTGAACAAATCTTCAGTTTCCGTAGGATTCTGGAACACCGGCATAAGTTCCAATAGTCTACCAAGGCATACTTCATTGACTTCCGCGTTGCATTTGACTCTGTCGTTAGAGAATTCTTGTGCTGCGTATAGTTGTTCGACGGGATAACCAGGAAATTCATCAGACTTGTAAAGTCATACTACTCACTGACCCGGGCCCGCTTCTTTTCCTATGGAGAAGAATCCAACTTCTAGCCGATGGGGCTAGAAGAGTTTTCCTGCAACTCCTGAGACCGTTGTGGAATTGATGCGAAATAAGCTTAAACACTAAACTTCGGGTTTATCAGGCTTCATTCCGCCCCATCCTCGCTTATGGCTATGAAACCTGGTCGCTAAGGGTACAAGATAAAAAGAAGCTCGAAGTCTTCGATCATTGGTTCTTACGCCGCATCGTGAAAGTAAATTGGAGAAATCAGATTTTCAAAGATGAGGTTCGACGGCGCTGCTTGAACATTGACAAGCTTTCAAAAATGCTACAATCCCAGCGTCTTTAGTGGTTTGGCCATGTGCTTCGAAGGCCCGACACTCAACTCTAGTGACAGGCTGTAGCCCCCCCCCCACCGTACCGTGAATGGCGTTGCCGACTCGGTGGTTAAGTGAAGACCTGGAGCAGTACGATCAATGCGGATAGGAATTACTGGGCCTCCAATCCGTATATGGAATTCGTAACTGGGTTTCACACTGCGTCAGCCTTGCTACCGATCGTCATGCATGGGCCGCCATCATTAGAGACATCCAAGAAGCTGACTTATACTCTCGCTGGAGTTAGTCGATCAAAAGTAAAATGTAAGTATTATGTACTGCAATCGGAAAGTCAATAATGAGAAAACTGAATCGGGTGCAAGCGAAAAACCGCCAAAACCGAAATGATTTTAAATTATTATGAATCTACAGTGACAGGAACTGTACGTGGGTAAAGAAAGAGAATTTTCTGACCCGCACTTTTTCGCAAACCACAGCGCATTCAGTCGTACACACAGAGAATACTAGATTGATGGGTCAACGGCAGTTAGTTCATTTATGGCAGTTTACAAATTCTGATTACCAACCACCCACGAAAGGCCCCCAGGCCTTAGATGTTTCGAACCGATTCATAACCCCGGTGGCTAGCAGTGAGATGAACCGGGTGGGATGCCCTCAACAGACATGTAAAGGTGATTTGAGCTACATCGTGTGAAGGCAAAATGAAAAACCGTCAAATCAGCTATTCGGTGGTTGAGTGGGTAGTGTGTTCTACCGGTGAGGTCCCGGGTTCGATTAATTCGCACTGCTGATGAGACTCAATGAATTCGAAACAATGGTGAAGTACTATCTAGCTTTCCAGTTCACACGAAATTTGCTCTTTACACCACGAAATACTCATACAATCGAATTAAGCCATCCATTACTCTCATATAGATATAGGTTCACCAACTCGATTGAGTTTTACAAAACTCAAATTAGATTACAATTCACAGAAGACGCTCGTTAACACTCTTAATGCTATTTACAGCAAGGAATCAGTAAAGCTGCAGGCCGATACAAAACCTCGTTTTACGTCAGTTGCATATATTGAGCTCTGTGCATACAACCAGGATCGTATGGCAAGTAAACCGATGGGCGGGAACCGAACTTACACAAACCACTGATGCAAAGAAATTCACGGTACGTCTGTTCCGATTTATGATTTGTCTTTTGCCAGTTCAAGAAGAGAGTATCGGACAGGGAAATGAAGCAAACCCACATCACGANATCCACATACATCGTTCCCGGGTACACATACAGAATATGAACAATCACCAGGAATCCAAGAAAAGACTGGACAGAGGGGACGTCAAATAATGGCGATTCTGGGAGGCAGTAACAGTGGTCGTCATATTGTCTAGTTTAGGATACGACAGTCAAACTGTCTTTTGTTTTGCTTATGCGTTAATAATGAAGCATCACTGAACAGAGCTAGTGTGAAGAAGAACTGACAATTCAGTGAAGCGAACTCGGTAGTGTATGGAATGGAGAGAAACATCTTGGGTGTACAGGAGAAGGCTTTGAATAAAGGATCTTGAGAACCAATGCGTGAAGTACGATGAATAAAGGAAACAGATAACGCTCAATGCTTATCGATGATATTTGGCAAGCATCCCAACGAATAGGACGATGAACACACATCTGAGCTGTGTGATTCCGCGAAAGTGAGCCAACATTTAGATATTTCGCGATCACAACGAAGACAATTAGGGTATTGATTGGGATCGACCGGGAGAAAGAGTTGTGTCACGGAGTACGGCTGAATGTACAAGTTGTATTGGCAGTTAGACGATAAAAAGAGGGTGGGGGAGAGTAGATGGAATAACAGATTGCCGGGGTAGTGGAACAAGACAAGGAGAAAGTCTGTTTCATCATCGTTGAATAAGTACAGTGAGAGATTCGTTTTCGCGAG